GGCTGTATTTTATCGTTAGTTTCCCTGGTATTTCATATTGGATGAAATGTGGCAACCTATCAGAGGCATAGAGATCTACAGCACAGAAAAAAAGCTCTTCAGCCCATTGAGTCTGTGCCAATCAAAAACAAGCACTTAACTACTTTTGTCCCATTTTCTAGCACTTGGCCCATTGCCTTGTATGCTTTGACATTGCAAGCATACATCTAAATATTTAAGTGTTATTAGGGATTCTACCTTTACCGCCCTTACAGGCAGCAAGTTCCAGATTCTCACCATCCTCTGGATTAAAAAAAAATGCATCCTAACTTTCCCTTTAAATCTCCTGCAATTCACCTTGATAGGGCTAATGGGAAAATGGGATTAGTGGTGTAGCAATTTATCACACTTAATCATTTTGTAAATAACTTCCAGAAAAACTGTGTATGACACTAGCTTTTTCAAAGAAGCTGTCAATAGATTGATGACGTCCTGTGATATGGATGCTGTGAGAGCTGGGATGCTGACAATAATAATTATGAATTACTAGAAATCAGATCAGAGTAGCAATGAGACAAATAAATAGAAACTGAAAGAAATTGCACTGCTAAGATGGTGGAGTGCAGAGGTATGGAAACTTATGAAGGAAAATGGCTTAGGGAGGTGGGGTAGATTTGACTCCAATCGGGCAGAGCAGATAAGAACCTAGAAAAAGTAAATTGAGGTGGACAGAAATAAGGGTGTGCTTTCATTGACTTGTTTTGCTTTGCTCTATTTGCCATTGTTGCTGTACATTAGTGGTATTGATTTGATATCTTGTCATTGTAGTGTTATCATTGGAAATGTATCAGTAGTTTTCTGTTGAACATGTAGTACAGAAATTCTTGCATGAAAGAGTTCTATCACACTGGACCCATTGAACTGTGGATGGGTCCTGATAATGAAAAGCTTTAATTCAGGCAACATATCAATTGTAAAACTTGCTCAACACAAAATAAACTTACTTACATAGCAAATGATGGAACTCCATGTGGGTCTTCTTTCTGTGCCTTAATATCATAGGTATGCTAACAGTCAAACAGGAATGTTGATGCTGACAGTTGGAATCAAATTGAGAAGCTTTTTGACAGGAAGTTGAAATAGAAATAAAATCAATCCATATCTGGGGGGTTTAAGGACACAAGGCAAAACAGGACCCCTAAGTATACTGTAGATTCTGAAGTGACAAGATGATGTCGGGCTTTCCTCTTGATGCCTCCTACCACCATTTTACTAGACCTCCCACCACCTCCTATTCCAGCACTACAGGGTTGATAACTTGCCAAATGGGGAAACATGTAAACATAAAATGTAAAGGTAACAAGAAAAGTGAAACCCAACTTCCCTAAGCGGGCCATGAGCCAGCAAATGAAAAAGATAGTTAGGTGCAATGACCACAAGATCCGATAAAGATCCTTTTTTGTGTGATCAAAATATAGCTTCATTCTGGTTTGATGTTGAAATAGGGATGCCTGTGTTTATGTTGTAAAATAAACAAATCCCAAATGTTTAATATAGCTAATTTGTAACAACGTACAGCTGTTTAATAGTTTCTGTAAGGATATTGTGAATAACAGAGCATCTTTCATAGTGGAACAAGAAACAGACCAATGATTATCATAAATAATAGAAAAGGTTTCTATGCCGTCTTATTACATTTTACAAAAATATGTCAGTGTTTCACAAACAGCAGGGGTAATTGGAAATGCCTGCAGGGATATACAATGGGTGGTAATGGTCCAACTACATAATGTGTGATGTTCCAGAGTATGTAACATGCAGCTGACTTAGTACCAATTTTGCTCTCTTGTTTCATTTTCACATTCACTCTAACATTCCTTTTTGTAAATAGTTATATAAACAAATGTACTGATTTATTCATGCTAAGATTCTACATTACACAATGGTGTTACTTGGGGAGGCTTATTGACCAAGAAACCTTATTGTTTGAGAGGGTCTTTTGGACTTTAAATATTTATGACCAGATGGGACTTCTGTTCAATGAGTTATCTGAAGGAATGTGCTTCTAACAGTGCAGCTGTCCCTTGACCTAGTTTCAACATCAATTCTTGATGTTGAGTTTGAAGCTAAGTCCTTCTATTTCAGATGCAAGAGTGCTGCTATCAGCTAATTCAGCCAAATGCAACAACTGTATCTTGAATTAGCGTGAAACCCGTTTGATTTCCTGATTTAGCTTGAAGGCTGCATCATTCATACCATTGTCGTATAAAATTATCTTTACTGTCCTTTTTTTTACTATAAGGAATTTTGAACTTTTTTGATTTCAGTTAATACTGATTCAAGGTGAATTGCAGGAGATTTAAAGGGAAAGTTAGGATGCATTTTTTTTAACCCAGAGGATGGTGAGAATCTGGAACTTGCTGCCTGTAAGGGCGGTAAAGGTAGAATCCCTAATAACACTTAAATATTTAGATGTATGCTTGCAATATCAAAGCATACAAGGCAATGGGCCAAGTGCTAGAAAATGGGACAAAAGTAGTTAAGTGCTTGTTTTTGATTGGCACAGACTCAATGGGCTGAAGAGCTTTTTTTCTGTGCTGTAGATCTCTATGCCTCTGATAGGTTGCCACATTTCATCCAATATGAAATACCAGGGAAACTAACGATAAAATACAGCCTACAATAAAATTATTTTGGGATCCCAAATAATATATCACAACAGTACACAACATTAAAACAAAAACTGGCATATTGTGAGCTAACAATCTGCAAAGCGCAAGATTTTTTTCTCACCAGCAGTATTCAGATACTAAAATTCTCATCCTACTTTTCCTGTCACTGTATAGCTCCACCTCTCTCTGCTGTTTGGTTGAGCACACATTGTCTAACTGACTTTAGGCTCCCAAGTATTGCATTTTGAGTCCAATGCACTTTCTTTAAAAGTCTATTTACAGCCTAGCAGACACACACATTCCTCTTAGAATCTGGTACAGGAAGTTTTGCCTTCTAAGTGACTCTACATAATCATCTGACACAGCATTATTATACATCGTCATTTGACAATAGCTGCTGTCTCATTGCTCTACAACGTACCTTGTGATTTTCCTTTTGGCCGACATCCCACATCCATTCGTCTCCTCAGCTGCCTCCAATCCATCATCAGAAGCTACCTTTTTGGTCATTATGCTGCTGGCAATATCCCCTTTCCAATTTTTGAGAAATCTCTTCAAAACCTTCCGTCTCTACAAGGCTTTCATTCTCCATCGTAACGTCCCAGCAGCTCTCTGTGACAGAGACGTCTCTCAGAGCAGGTCCTCTGTTCATTTCTCTATCTCTTGGTCTTGCCCTTTCCTCTTCAATTGTTTGTTACAGCCTCTGGTTTTCAATTTACCTTTCCGGTTTATTCTAAAGCTCTCAGAGTCTTCTTCCTCTCTGCAAGCAGTGATCTAGAAACGGTTCTGTTCAATCCGCTCATACGCAATTTCATGTATTTTTTTTAAAATCAAACGCAGTCATAATCTCGATTTGAAACAAATATGTTCAGTTTTAAGACGGAAACTAACTTGCAAGTGATTGATGGTTCAGTTCTTTGGAACCGTGATCAAGGAGGAGCGGCTCCATCCCAGAAAATAATGTGATGTCCAGAGACCTCCTACTAAATTTATAACCAGCCCTGACATTTATGTTGTCAGACGCCAATCTTCAACTTAATGGAGTCTATCGCTTGAATCAAGTGGGCACTTTGGACAACCTTTGGCAGGTTCATTGTAACGTGAAAATGTCCATATTAATGTGCTGAATTGGCAGTGAGGTGAATTTTGCGGTCATTACCACCGACTAACCCATTGTGTCAGTCATAACTCCGCCCCAATCCTTTAGATTTTCGGTTTGGTTAGACGGCAATAGCATCTTACAATATTACATATTTCAGTGCAAGTACCATACTGTGAAAATTAAGATGATTTTTAGGTGAGGTAACATGTCATTACACAACTACTTGTTAGCTCATTTGTTAAACTGGTTAGTTTGGGTGTTGCTGGGATTTCAGAGCTCAGTGCTTGCTGCCTTCAACACTGCAGAAAAAAATGATGGATTTCCCCCTGGTTTGCAAAGACAACAGCGGTTCATGATAAATTTCCTAAATGTTCTATACCAGGTAGGAAACTTCTCGTGGGTCAAAGGATCACCTTAGCGTGATCAGAACTTTTTTTCTGGCTGGAACGGCTGCTGGTGAAGTTTAGGCGGCGCCTTTAATTGAATTTCTATTCATGAAACTCAAGCGTTTGATTTTTTTTTTGCAACCTCTTTTCAAAGTTATTTCTGGTAAATGAGGCTGACCAAGCTACTAAAATTGGAGAAATCTGCCAAACACCCCGTGTAATACTACTACTGAGAGTCACTGTTGCAATGAGATGCACGAGAGAACAAACGAAAGTCTTGAATCTTAATTAAAAATATATCTTTGCTTTGCTAAGTGCGGTACTTTATGCGAATTCTCGCCAATCGTGCAGTAGGCATTGCAAAGTTGGAAGCAGCCATGCATCCGAGAGGCAGCTGGTACGCTGGGGAAATCTATTAGCCTGTTATTTCCTGCATTCCTCGGTAGCTGGCACTCTACGCTCTCCGTAAATAAGACTCAAACGCAACAACACGGTGGAGGATTATCTGTGCTGGGGACAGGAGTCTGATCGCTTCCAGGAATCGACTGCACTGGTTATGGGTGGTTAGATTGCTGCATTTGTTCTGAAGGACCCCTACTCCTGTCAAGGACCCGGGCATTTGAGGGAAAACTTTGTCGGCAAAGCATCATCTGGAATTAGCATTTGAGAGTCGGCCGTTGATCTGTCCAAGGTGCTGAAATGTAGTCTTGCTCTCCCAAGCTGTTAGCGAGGTGGATACCATGGGCTCCGCCGCTGAGAAGTTACATTGCAGTTCATAGCGCAATGGGACGTGAAGATCTACACTCTTGATGTCGAGGGGGCTTTCTTGTGCTCTAAGTATGCGTGCCAGGATTTGACGGAATGGGCCGTTTTCTGGTATACCTGAGATCAACGGTGCTACTGTTTTTCAGCTATTTTAACATCTGCCTGATCACAGCGGGTAAGTCAAACATCGTCTGCTGCTTCTCCTGCGCCCCCGCAGTGAGTTTGTCAAGAATTCTTCTGTTTGATCTGCGACCGTGGCTTAGCTTCCCTGAGGGATTCTGCAAAGAAATACAATAGGAATAGCAGTATTGGAATATTAAGCTTGGATCAGGTATGTGGTCAACAGTCCAATTGTACCAAGAGGTATCCTGTCATCTGAAGATTAGTCTCAATCCTATTTCGTGAACCAAGCCTTAACCAAAGTCTTTCCAGTTACTTGTATTCGTCTTAAAGGAGTTACACCGTCAAATTAGCCACCTTTTTTGTTTCATGCTGTATGTCATTTGGCCAAACTGACTAAAAATGAATAGAATGTTCAAATCTTAGTAAAAATGTCACCCATACTTCTTCAGTTGTAAATTTGGGTTGTGTACATAAAGCAGAGCTGTGAAACTAACTGGCCTGGATTTATTTTTCTTTTAACCCTACAAGGTTTACAGTGACGGATGTGGCGCCAAGACAAAACATTTGACTTGATTTTAAGCGGAGCGGCGTTTTTCTTTTCTGCATTTACAGGGAAATAAGCCACGCTTCCTTTTGCTTGTGTAGCTCCATCTAACAATAGCGCAGCGTAGTTTACACCTGCATGATCGTTTGTTCAAATGCCATTTTAAAAAAAAACTGCAAATAATATCCAGAACCGAACGGGTTTGGCGCCTTGGTTCTTGTAACTCAAGCACATGTACACAACAGTGAGCTGCATGCAAAATTCAACATGAAGCTTTTAGAAGGAAATATCAGGCAGCGGGTTTTTTTTTAAGTCGTACCTGCAAAATCGATTAATTTTCTATAAACTGTCTGAATATGATATTGTATTTGCATTTCCTGTATTTTATTATCTAAAGTATGAGATGCAGCATTGGTGCATTCTGACATAATAAGGGAAGCAATGTAACCAGATTATCCACAGTACTGCCTATTGCAGCATGTTGCATAGTTTTAAACCAACCTGAAGTGCAGCTTCGAGTTGATGACTGGTGGTGGAGGTTGTTGCATTATATAACGAAGGATAAATCAATGGAGCAATATCTGCTTCTTATTTCCATTGCATTGTTAGTTGCTAAATAGCAAAGAGATGGGTTATCAACTTAACAAGGTAAGTAACATGGTTGGAGATGCAAATAAGAAACTCTAAGGAACAGGGGTGATCATTATTTTCAAGTTAGCTTATCAAACATCCAATCATTCAATTTGTAACTATTTAACAAGAAATATAAAGGTTAAATATTTAAAATATGTTCTTATTATGGAAAAATGTATTTTGTTACCAGAGGTGCACTGGCATTTTTCCCTTAAGTATTGATGTTTCATGACATACATGTGCCGACAGATCACACTTCTAAGAACAATATTTAGTTTGAGTAGTGATCATTTTAAACAGCAAGCCAAGTATTACAACCCATTAGATTTTATTAATATTTTCTTTTTTAAAGTGTGATTATGTACGATGGTAAATGAAGATACATGAATAAAAACTAATTGTTCATACATAATGAAAATGAAAATTAAATCAAATGTGTAAATACTTGGAATCGCAGCTTATTAAATATACTATATAATAGTTCAATATATGTTTTATTTGGATGTGCGTGCACATATACGATAAAGAAATATCATTGTTTGCAACATTTACTTCCATGTTGAAAAATAATTAAACAGTCAAACTTTGTACATCATAATTAAGAGGCCTTGGAATTAACCAGTAAACACTGCTGGTGGGGTGTTGATCCAGGTATTTCTTAAGACAAGATCAATAGTGGCTAGCTATGAATACAGATTTATTTACTGGAGGAATTCTGGTCTCCCTACTGGAAAGATGTTGTGAAACTTGAAATGGTTCAGGAAAGATTTACAAGGATGTTGCCAGGGTTGGAGGGTTTGAGCTAAAGGGAGAGGCTGAATAGGCTGGGGCTATTTTCCCTGAATGTCAGAGGCTGAGGGATAACATTATAGAGGTTTTTAATACCATGAGGGACATGAAGAGGGTAAATAGGCAAGGTCTTTTCCCCAGGGTAGGGGAGTCCAAAACTAGAGGGATAGGCTTAAGGTGAGAGAGGAAAGATATAAAAGGGACCTAAAGAGCACCTTTTCACACAAAGGGTGGTGCCTGTATGGAAAGATCTGCCAGATGAAGTGATGGAGACTGGTACAATTGCAACATTTAAAAGGCATCTGGATGGGTATATGAATAGGAAGGGTTTAGAGGGATATGGGCCAAATGCTGGCAAATGGGACTAGATTAATTTAGGATATCTGGTCAGCCTGGATGATTTGGATTGAGGGGTCAGTTTCCATGCTGCACAGCTCTATGATTCTATGATATATATCCAATTGAAAAGTATTTCATTTTAAAAGGAACAATTAAGATAATGAGCATTGCTAAAATGTTAGTGATTTATCTATAAAATTCATACATTTGCTATTAAGTTTCTGCATTGCATTAATAGCATATTTATAAGGATCATGATTGCTATTTCAGTTTACAGAGTGCACACTCTTTTTCTGAAACATCTGTAAGTCAATTTTCCCTTATTATTTAAGATGTTTTTAAATTCAACTAGATAATTCCTGAGATTCAAGTCCCACCTGCCCCAAAGATGTGTCACAATACACCTCAACAGGTTGCTTTTAAAAATACCTAGAATTAGATGAATTTATTGGCTAAATAAACAATCTTATAATACCGTCAAATTCACCACAAATGTGACAGTAAAAAATTTCCAGTGATAACAACGAGTACAATATGGCATCAAGTGGATTATTAGGAACGTTTTAACCTCAAAACCAAATTTCATGAATTATCAATTTGCAAGAATAACAATAATATGCACAGAGATCAATATCTATACTTATTCATAAATTTAATATATTTATTTATTAGGTAAATAAAATTTTAAAGAGATCTATTTTGGGTATTCATCACTTCCATGAAAGAGTGTTGATAATGCATGCTGCTGTGTGAACTTTCTTTTTGTAAGTGATTAGTTTGAATCCGAGATGATATCTCTGATGCCACATGACCTCAACACACTATAGGCCAAGAAAGCTATATTTCTGTGCAATCGAAAACTAAAATGCAACTTTGATGTAGGAGCTTTTAAAATTTCCCAAATGCATCAATATTATTAATGAATTTTAATATTAAATTGAAGTGGTGGTATAACTCTGCTTTATGTCATCTTGTATTTCTTCTTAAGTGTAGCTCTCATGCATTTTCAAGTGGTTAATATATTATACTAATTATACATTATACTGACATGTTAATACATTATACTAATTTACCACGGCACTGGCGTGCTTTACCACAAGTTTATGAACTTGCATGATATACAGAAGTACAATTGTTCCTTCCTTAATCCTAATATGCTCTTTTCATTGAGGAAATCTCTATGAATTAACAGTGGAATATCAGTCAAAAGGGTTCTGTCAATGGTCTGATCTTTACAATACAGCATTATACCATTCAAACAGCATTGTGTGCATCTACTTTCACTGTTATTAATTGAAAATGGCTTGAACATTCACAATCTATTGTTTTAATTATCTGTGGTACTCTCCATATTTGGACAATATGATTACAATAATGGCTAGAAATTTTTAAATTGAAAGAGGACTATTTCACCAAGGAATTTCTTAAAGATCATTTAAGTATACCTTATCTCTGATTTGCAGTTGTTGTATATTGTATTGTTCATATGCCTTTCTTGACATTGCTCATTTAATGTTAAATTCAATTCAGCATGTCAAGAAAAGCATTTCAGCATACTTGATTGGCCGATGCAAAAACTTAATCGTCAGAGAAATAATAAACAGTGCAGAACTTCTTGAATTACCTCCTAAAGCTTCAGAATATTTATTCCAGACAGTTTAAATTGACCCAGCAATTCTGAAACAAGCATTTTAGTTCTTACTCGTCTAAATAAAAAAAAGTAATCTTGTCATTGGCATTTCAATCATGGTGTTGAATAAATGAAAACTTAGAATACATAACTAGTGTGTTAACCATTTTCTAAAAGAGTAAACAAGAGGTCTATCAACTTTATACTTCTGCCTATAAATTCATTTTATTGACAAGGCAGAGGGAGTAGACTTTAAAGCATTAAGTAAATTAGTGTTTCAGGCTTATGCTGAAGTATGACCTATCAACTAACTAAATAGAGGGTGAAATGAAACAAAAAAGTATAACATTTATTTTCTTTGAGAGGTTGTGTGTAAGATCTGGAAAGTCACATGGATTTTTAAATGGACTCCAAATTACATCAGTGCTGAAAGGGTGCACGATGGATTTGCTTTGTGAGCATTTGAGTGGATTTTTGCAAACTAAATTTACAATTAATTCCTTCAAGAAATGCATAATTATGGATCTCATTAATTTAATTGGGTGCTTAATATAAAACACCAAATTTGGCAACACTGCTCAGTTTATAAAAATAATGTGAACTATAATGTGAATAAATTAGCAGCTTATTTTGAAAGTATATTAGAATTATTTAAATGAATGTAAATTGATCATACAAGTATTTCCTCTTATTACTTTTAACATAGTAATTATTTACTTGTCTATACTGTGATGTTTGAAGAATTTGCATGTTGAAAGTATTTATTCTCTACAACACGCTGAGTTGGTTAATGATGGAGTTGGTTAGTAATGTGAAACATAGCTGTTCCTTTTCAGTGAACATTCAAATTCATCTGATACAGATGAGTTAAAGGACCCATCTCTATGATGACAGTTAGTGATATTATGCATCCAGTCTTCTATAGATTACCAGAGCATAAACAAACTTCGTTTACTGAATATCTATTTAACCTCTCTAATTAACTATAGCATGTGATGTCATAGAGAATCTGGCAACTATGATATTGTTTATCTCAAAACCACTAGGTAGATTTAATTGAACTCACCAGAGTGGGCATGACAATGGGGGAGATGATGGTGGGACTCGTTAATGGGAG